CCCCCCCCCCACCCCCCAAAAAAAGTGTCACGTGATTAATGGACGCCCCCTCACCTTGTACATACAATTCATCATACATAACTATCATCGTCACCACCATATATAACTCCGAAAAATCTTCTCGAATTGCAGGTCGGCGTAGGCAGCCCGGGTTCCCTCCGGGGTTCAGGCATGGTGGGTGGTGTGCCCCGGAGTCAAGGACCCCCACCCCCATACCACCAAACAGCGCGTTCCGCGAGTGTCCCCATAGCGATTCCCAGTCCGAACCCATCCTCCCCCAACAACCCCACCTCGAACCTCTCCCTCCCCTCGCCACGTGCCAGTTCAGCCCTGAACTCTCCAGCCGACTGCAACCGCCAGTTCCAGCTGAATCCCCCCCGAGCAGGCCACCTGCCCGGCCAGAGTCCGACTAGTCAGGACTCCCCAACCCCCGTCAGCCAGCCATCCTCCTCAGTCCCCCCCTCCCGACTGAACCACAGTAATCCAGGAACTCCAGTCTCCCACTCGCATTTATCCTCCCTCAGTCCCAGCAACACAACCCCCCAGAAGGATCCCCAACTGGACTTCCCCCCGAATCCTCCCTCCAACGTCGAGGGAATGTTCTGTCGAACCCTCCAGAATCTCGCACAACAGAAGCAACAGCAGCAGCAGCAGCAACAGCACAACGCCCCAGGCGTCAAAGAGGCGAACCTGATGCCAGTCCCAAGTCCCCAGCAGATCCAGTACATGAACACCTTCGACGGCCAGGAGCTGACGATTCAAAAGCAACCGAACACTAGTCTAAAGGACAACAGTCTCCAAACAAACAACAATACGACGAATAATCAAGACTTGTCAAGTCGAATGCTTCCAGCCCCCCTAGACAACAACAATCAATTTCCAGGTAGAACAGAGGGCTCGAGTCCCACGATAGACAGTATGAACCGAGGCTTCGGTGGCTCCCTCCACAGCCCCCACACCCCCCACACACCCCACACCCCAGGCGGTGCCCCCCAAACACCTGTCGACAACAAACAGAACAACAACAACAACAACAATAACAACAACAACAACAACAAGACATCAGCGAGTGCACAGAGCAGTCCAGTTCCAATGAACCCAAGCCTGGGTGACAGTATGGGACCACCGAGGACAATTCCAGCCTCACCGAGCACAAAGCAAGAGACGTCATCGCCATCTTCCAAGGACATAAGTCAGCCACAGCAGCAGCCCCAGCAGGTGTCCCAGCAGTCGCAGATCCAGTCACAAATGCAGTCGCAAATGCCACCGCAGCAGTCACAGGCCCCCCAGAATCCCCAGCAATCTCAGCTGAATCAGCAGCAGAGTAATCAGAGCAATAGTGGAGTCCAAATGGGCCAGATGAACGCCTTCCCCTGCAGCAGACCTCCAGTCAACGTCAGTCAACCAGACAATGTTCCCCTCAATCCCAACAACATTGGGGGCAGGATGGGGGGCATGGGGGGCATGAACACCAACCACTTCGATCCAATAACATCATTGGCACAGATGAGCCAGCAGCTGACGAATACTGCAGCTAGCAATGCCCTGGGGAACGATGGGCCCATGCATGGGGGCAATATGATGCCCTTTGGGGGTCCCCATGGGATGCACATGATGCAGATGGGGGGCGAGTTGAATGGCTGTCATCTGGGGCCTGTCAACGAGGCCAGCGATGTTGGGATGTGCATGGGAATGCCTGGGGGGCCACCCACAAGCTACAGCCCCACGACGTCGCACACTGGAAGCCCCACTATTGGGCCTAATAAGATATCTCATGGGATGATGGGGCATGGCATGATGCCAGGGCACAGTGTTCCTGGGGGGTATCCGGGGAATGAACACGTTCCTCCACCGAGATTGATGGGGCACAATGTCGGGCCAAGCCCCTATAATGGGGCTAATATACAGGTGAAACCCAGTGCACCCAACACTATTCAGTACTTACCAGCGAGGCCCAATGTTGGGCATCCACCGAGGGGCCCTTCCAATTTGGATTTGAATTTTCTGCAGAGATTTACAAATCCACCGATGCAGAATATGGAGAGTAAAATGTCTTCGCCGTCGGTTAATTTACCGTATTTTCCGAATGGATGTATGCCTAATAGCATGGGGGGCCCACATTCTGGAATGAATATGGGCCCTGGTGGGCTTCCGGGAATGGGGGGAGGACCTCCCAGGATGGATGGGCAGATTAGTAATCCTCATGGGGGCATGAGGCCTGCTCTGGGGAGCATGAGGCCGCAGCCTAATATCATGAGGATGCAGCATATGGTCGGGGGTGGGGTCTTTCCGGGGAGTCCCATGGATCCTGATAAAGTCTTCCCTCCTGATATGGCACAGCAAGTTGGTAATCAGCAGAATCCGGGGATGTATGTACCGGGGAGCAAGGGGAGTCCTATGGGACTTGGACCACCACCTGATACCACACAACCGTTGCCACCCAGCATGGGTGGGGGGAGCAGTAATTTTAAGAATAGCCCCTTTGCCGGGGGGCCTAGTATGGCTGATCCCAATTATGCACAACAGTTTCATAATTTTCAACAACAACTTTATGCCACGGGGTCGAGGGCCGCTGGCCCACCACAACCACCTCCACCACATCCCAATATTCATCCAACTGGTAATTCTCATTCGCATCAGCAGTTCTTCATGCCCAAGTAAGATAATTCATAATGCGGGGATACTGTTTTTTGGGGGGATCTTTCGGGGGGGAAGTGTTGGATGTTGAAGTGCTTTGGGAATGGATATTCACAAATGTTTATGTCGAGAAGGGTTTTTCAAATTTTTTTTCACGTTGAAATGAGGATTTTTCGATTATTGAGTCAACTTTTTTTTGGATTCGAGAACGAATCTTTTCGAGGGAGAAACATTTTTTTTTTTTTTGAGAATTGATATTTATTATGCAAAAATATTCTCAGTTGCGGGATATTTTATTTGAGCGTCAAAAAATTTTTCCTGAATTAAATTAATTTCAAAATTTCAAGGGAAAAATACTGAAATTTTTTGTGGGAAATGACTTTATTTCTGAAATATTCAATGAAATTCGAATTTTCATGTTCAGATGACAATGGAAATTATTGGAGATTGTGGGAGTGTAGTTTTGAGTCTTCGATCCGTTGAAAATTCAATTAAATTCATCTTCAATTCCAAAAATGAGTTTTCGAATGCCACTGAAAGATCAGTGATTTTCTGGAATGAAGAAATATATTTTGCTGATTTTCATCCTGAATTCAATTCAAATTCGCAACATTGGAAATTCAAATGCAGCTATGACTTGGATTCTAATAAATTTCCAAATATGTAGTAAGCAAAAATTTTTTAATTATTGAGTCAACATTTTTTCTTTTCTTCATTCGAAAAGATGTACTCTTGGCTAGGAAATGAGTGTTTTCAATTCAGAAATGTTAAGAGTCAAGAAACATTTAATTTTTATCCTAATGAATGAAGAATAGACACTAGATTCAATGCAGGGCGTTGTTGGAAAATTATTTTCAAAATTTCAAGCGAAAAATTCTGAAATTTTTTCTGACAAATGCATTTATTTCTGAAATTTTCAATTCCAATTTTCAAGTTCCGATGACAATGAAAACTATTGGAGATTGTGGAAATGCAATTTTGAATCTTTACAACTCAATATTTCTATTTTAAGAATAATTTTCCTAAATGAAGAATAGACACTCTCGATTCAGTGCAGTGCACTGTTGGGAAATTATTGGAAATCAATCCATTGACAATTCAATTAAATGTGACGTTCAATTTCAACAATGAGTTTTAGAATTCAAGCTACCACTGAAATATCAGTGATCATCTAACATGAAGAAATTAATTTTGCTGGATTTTCAAAGTAAATGCGAATTTCCACGCACATTTTCATCTTGAATTGAATTCAAATTCTCAAAATTCTGAGTTCAAACGCAGCTGTCTTAAATTTCAATGAATTTCTAAATATAGTAAAATGTCACTTGAAATATTTTGCCTCGTTGAAACGAGAATTTTTCAATTATTAAGTCGAAAGTTTTTTTTTTTCTTCATAAAAAGAAGAAGTACTCTTGATTGAAGAATTTTTCCAATTGACAAATGAAGATTTTTTTTAAAGAATTGATATTCTTTCTGTGAAAATATTCTCAATTGAAGGATATTTCATTTTTGTATCGAAAATTTTTATCCTGATTGAGGAATAGACACTTTTTATTTAATATAGTTTAGAGTCAGAAAATCATTTCCGAAATTTCAATTGAAAAATGCTGAAATTTTTTCTGAAAAATCAGTAGCGAAGCGGGAAAACAGTTCAAGTCAATTTGGCTCTCATCTGAGTTTTCGGGGATTATCTCCGAATCTAAGGGAGATAATGAGATTTTCGTAATGACCTTTTTTATAGAGCGACGTAAGGGCTACACAGAAGGTTATAACAAAAATTCTGCTATCTCCCTTAGATTCCGAGTTACTCATTGAAAACTGAGCAATAGTTAATATCGACCTAAACCGTAAATCGACGCAAACCTAAATATTCAATGGAATTGTAATTTTCATAAACATGACAATGAAAAGTATTGAAAATTGTGAAAATGCAATTGAATGTGATGTTCAATTTTCCCAATGAATTTAATAATTCAAGCTGTCATTGAAATACAAATTAAGAACCTCATTTAGTTTAATTTTCACGATAAATGCGACAATTAAACTAAATTCACGTTCTGTCCACGTTTTGATCTTGAATTGAATTCCAATTCTCGAAATTGCGTTCAAACACAACTATTACTTGAATTTCAAAGAATGTCCAACAGAGTCGTATTTTTTGATTGAAGAATATTTCTTTCTCGTTAAGAGATATTCTTCAAAAAACAATTTCATGATATTCAACACTTAAATCAGTTGTTCTCAAGATAATGGCAAATTCAACAGAGACACTTCACTCCCGAATTTATCACATCTTTTCTACTATGATTATTTTTCTTGTAAAATTTTTATGAGATACAAGAACAATTTGTAAAATTCTGTCGTCCATCAATGTCTTTGTTTCGTATTTTTCGAAATTCCAATTGCAGAAACAATGTTCCGTGCAATATATAACTTTGTATGAAATTAAATGAAATGAGATAATTACGAGAAAAAAAAGTAATGAATTAGCCGAAATTTTTGCCGGTGCGATGAGTGTAAATTATTGATTGACAAAATGAAAAAAGAAAATAAGGAACGAAAGAATGATGTAAATATTTGTGTAAAATCAGGTTGTTTTTAATTCCTTTCATTCTCCTCTTTGTAGTACAACTCAAACTCCCTATTGGGCCAGGAATAGTCGTATGTGAGAGGGGTGTTGTTGCAAAATGAAAAAACTGAGGGAAAACCGATTATTGGAAATTATTTTACGGAATGTTTATTCATTTATTGTTACGAGTGTACCGTTCCATGTGAAAGACTCCAGCGTAGTTGATGCAAAAGGAAATTTTCGAGACAATTGTCTTGGTGCAGAATGCGGCCTCAACTGTCCACCAAAACAAGATAAAAATATGTTCACGGTAATTTATTCTTCCGTTGTCACAATTACGAAAAAAAAAACTGACAAAATACTTTAAAAAATGACGCAGTCACAAAAGCTCAAATTCATATTTGTACATATATTCGAGTATACTTATAAGCATCCAATTGAGCATAACTTCTTAATTAATATCCCCATTCTCCCATTTTTTTCCTTCCTCAACAGAAAAAAAATGAAAAACAAATTTTAAAATAAAGAAGAACGAAGAGATGAGAAAAACGTAAATGAAAAAAAAAACGTTGTGACCAACTCTGTGCATAATCATGACTTCACTTAGCCCATTTAATAATCCTATAAGAAAAATTGAATAAAATAATTAATTATAGTAATAAAAATTAATTGAATAAGAACAATTATGTTGTTGATGAATGATTTTTATTATGAATGAAATAAAATAAAGATATTTACAAGAAAATTCAGTACGTGAAAACATATTTTTTTTACTTTTCTTTTTATGCAATACTTCGTAGGGCTTTCGAAATCACTTTTTGTTGCTCTTTTTCTTTTGTTAGAGGTATAGTCTACTGCAAAAAGTATATCTATATATCATTACAGTTTAGTATTGATCAATTTTCTACTCTTGAATTAGTTCAAGTGAAATGAGCAATGTTTTTTTAATCTCACGAAAGCGCACATAGATACATTTTCCTAATTATTCTGCGGTGTTTCACAGGTTTCAGAGGAGAAATCAGTGAATTGGTATGTAGAGAAAGGTGAGGTAAAATTGATCTTCTTACATCGATATCCTCTGACTCAGGAGTACGATTTCAGTAGCGAAACGTTCCAGTTGATTTAGCTGTTGTCTGAGTTGTGGAGGAATATCTCCGAATCTAAGGGAGATATCGAAATTTTTGTCATAACCTTTTTTGTAGCTCTCAATTCGCTCTACAAAAAATATTCCGATGCAAATTTTGCTACCTGCCTTAGACACCGAGATATTCATTGAAAAATAACCAATAGCCAAAATCTACTTGAACCATTTTACCTCTTCGCTACTGATTTCATCGAGTCAAAATTATTTGAAGGCCTGAGAAAAGACCTTTAGAGTGAACAAAATCGTTCAATTTCCCTCTGCGAATGTCGAGGAATTTCGGATTTAAAAAGGTCCATTTTACCCCCTTCACCCCAGTGTCAAGTTCGACATTTTTGTTAATTGTGCATTTACCTCGGAAACAAGTGGATTCAAGAGAAAATGCCAAAACACCTTTTTTGTGGAGAATTGAATTTCCTACAAAAAATGTTCAATGACTTTTCCCCCTAAAAGCACTCAGGATCGAGATAATTCAATATTAATAAAGATGCGAAAAATCGACTTGTTCAGCACATTTTTTTTTATTGATATTTTTCTGATTCTAAAGAAACGTGAACAATTATATTCCGAAAAATCAGATAATGAGTCAATAAAGCGTTGAGCCAATGAAGGAAGCGCAATAATTGTAATATTTTCTCTTCTCTCAAGTTTCTTCGAAATCTATAAATACTTCAACAGCTACATTCATTAGCCCAGATTGTAACGTTCACAATTTTATCGCGTATGTTTTCACTGTCTCGTCGAGTTCTAGGCATTTTCAAGTGTTTTTCAAATACTCGTAATTATCTAGATATAACTTTGGAAAGTAACTAAACGTGTTTGCGCAATTGTTGACTGTTGTCGAGCTTCCAAACTCATGGTTGTTCACAGAACGACTTTCACCTGAAATCATTCAATCACGTTTAGAGATTAATAAAATCGGTTGAGTCAGTGGTGAAATGTTTTCGTAGAAATCGTAAATCGTTGCAACTGCACTCGTTAGCTAAATTGAATTGCACCAATTCCGTTGGAGATGTAAGAAATCAAAAGGGAAGAACCAATTTTGGTAATGGATTTCGGATGCCCTGAATTTATTTCAATCCATTTAATTTATCGAATCGCACGAGAATGCATCGGGGTTGAGTGAATGTGATGGAGAGATTTTCATTTACATGAGACGGTTCTCGAGGGAAAGTCTTTTTTATTTATCTTTCAATAATTCAGTGGAGAAGTGAGAAAACGTCGTAGAAGATGAAAGAATTAATTTCTTAGGTGTTGTTTAATAGCGAGTTATCTCGATAACTATTGACTTCAGGAAAACATTTTATGAAACATTTTTATTGCTTATTTAATTCTCAGGGAAAAATGGGTTTTCACGTTTTCGCCTAAAATTATTTCAGTAGCGAAGTGGTAAAAGAAGATAAGTCAGTTTTGACTATTGACCAGTTTTCGATCAATATCTCGAAATGTAAGGGAGATAGTACAATTTTTGTTATAACCTTTTTTGTGGAGCCGATTGAGTGCTACAACAAATGTAATTACGAAAATTTCGCTATCTCCCTTAGCTTTGGAATTATTCCTCAAAAACTCAACTAGGAGATAAGTCGACTTATCTCCGTTTACCACTTCACTACTGATTTGTATTCGAGATCTTTTACAGTTTGATACAGACCACACTACAGATTCAACAATTTTCAATCATTAAATTTGTCAATTAAATTGCGTGAAAAAAATTTAAAGAAAATCATGAGAAATCAGCGTCATTCAAATTACATTTTGCACAGAATCATTATTTTTTTAAACATTTGCAGTTCATAAATACATAATTGAATTTGTTTAAACTTTCGGAAACCTTTTGGGCATAAAATCGATTTCTGGTAAATTCTGAATATGAATAAATTTGTTACGACTCTAAACAAATGATTTTCATGGTGAAAATTGATTGTTTATAAAGTATTTATGGAACATGCTCGTGATTTTCAAAAATTACATTTTTTTTTCATTATTTCATGAATCTTTCTCCAAAAGTAAACTTTCTAATTTTTTTCAGATTTTTAAAATGTTTTCTAGCGGTTCAATATCGAAATTCAAATTCAGATCTTCAAAGTCTCTCTCTATATTATATAAATCCAAATCGACTTCTGGTGATAAAAATTTGGTACTCGAAATTAAGACTCAGAAATTAAGGGTCATGAGGGTCAAATCAAGGGTCACGAGGATAAAAAATAAGGGTCATGAAGGTCAAAATAAGGGCTACAAGGGTCAGATTAAAGGGCCACAAGCGTCAGAATAAGGGTCAAGAGGGCAGAATAAGAGTCCATATAAGGGTCACAAGGGTCAGACAAGGTCCCAAATAAGGGATATGGGGGTCAAAACCAAGGGTCAAAATAAGGGTCACGAGGGTTATAATGAAGGTCAGATTAAGTGTTCAAATGAGGGTCTCAAACCAAGGGTCACAAGGGTCAAAATAGGAGTCTCAATATCTCTCTATATTTATGAGTAAAAAATCCAAATTGGCTTTTGATGATGAAAATTTGGTGCTCGAAATTAAGACTCCAAAATAAAGGGTGAAAATGAGGGTCACGAGGGTCAAAATAAAGATCATGGGGATCATATGGGGGTTGGCGAGCGGAGCAAGCAGGAGTGTAGCCCCCTAGTAAATAATAAAATCATTGTAAAATGTCCAGAAACTTCAAATAAGGCTCAAATAAAACCTCTGATGTCCGACTAGAAAATTGGAAAAGCCTTTCACTGGAGAAAAAATAGCCAAAGTACTAGCATATCCTTAAAAAATTCCAATGACATTACTCTCTGAAATTAGCAGATATCAGAAGTTCTTTTTGTAGTCCATATTATTCCCAAAGAATATCCTCTGACAGTCTCATCCTTTCAAAGATATTTCCAAAGTGAATTGCTCATCTAAATTCGATAAATTTCCTCCATAAAGTACCCCTCATCGACTGAATTGAACTGAAGTTTCAATCAATACGGGTTGTCGCCAATTTTCTTTTATAGGTTTTTCTTCTATAATAGTACTCCAAGGAAAAAAATAACGATTGGCATCTCATGGAGATAAATACAGCGCTTACACGTAAAAACTGCTGCGCTACTTTTATACCGGGAATAGCATCCCGGGATGCTATTCTCAGCACAATTGCCCTATTGATTTTCCGATATGAAAGTGCGATAGTCATAACTACCATTACACGTGTAACAATGAGATGATAGCCCTTTTGTGGGTATGGAAGAGTACCTTTTTTTCTCAGGTACATAATCGTCCCATTCACTGAGGTCGTATTTTGATAAATCTCCATCACCATCATCCTCGTCGTCCTCCTCGTCGTCTCCTGCTTCTTCCTCCTCGTCTTCATCATCTCGGTTGACCTCCTCCGAATCTTCATTACGATCAAACTAAAAATCAAATGAAAAATTTTCAACGGAACGAATTATTTAAAACATGCAACGAAAAAATTTTTTTATTCTCAATTACAATCTATAAAAGAAGAATGAAAGACAAATATTCTGTGTAAAGTAATAAAAAATTGACAATACTGATTAACAATAAAAATGTCATCGTTTGAAGGATTATTAAATCAATTTAATCAACACGAACATGAAAATAAAATACTGAAATTCTCTCAAAACTGAATTAAAAAAATTAAATTAAATATTCATATTCAGCTTCAACCATTTTCAATCATCAAATTTGTCAATTATATTCCGTGTGAAAAATTTTAAAACAAATCATGAACATTCAGCGTAACATCCACTGTTGGTTTCGCGCGTTCGCGAATTAACATTCTTAAACATTCTTTGTTTATAAATTATTCATATTGAAATTCTTTCAAAACTGACTTTAAAAAATTAAATTAAATATTCATATTCAAATTCAACCATTTTCAATCATCAAATTTGTCAATTATATTCCGTGTGAAAAATTTTAAAACAAATCATGAACATTCAGCGTAACATCCACTGTTGATTTCGCGTGTTCGCGAATTAACATTCTTTAATATTCTTTGTTTATAAATTAATCATAGAAAATGGTCGTAAGTTTAGAAAGTTGTAATTTTTTAATTATTTCATCAATCTTCTTCTAACAGTAAACTTTCGAATTTTCTTTTAGATTTTTAAAATGTTTTCTACAAAGTTTAAATAACAAAATTATTAGAAAGCTCGGATGTTCGACTACAAAAGTAGAAAAGCATTTCATTGGAGAAAAAAAAAAGTCAAAGAACTTGGATATTCTGAACTGCAATTATGGAATTGAGTTAGATTCAATTGCATAATTGCTTGCAATCACTCCTTGATAATTTAAAAAATGAATAAAAAAGAGTACATACGTGATTTTTAGGATCACCATGCACCACAGGATCCTCAGTCCCCCCGAACTTGTCCTCAGAACTTATTTTCCGAGGTGGACTACTGTACTTTGAGGACTCCTTGGAATCATCATCTGACCTATCCATTTTTCGTTTCTTCTTTCGCCTGCCAAATTCGTCGTACTCGTCATCATCATCGTCCCTCCGTTCCTTGTACTCCACAACCCCTCGATCATTGTATCCCCCACCATACCCAGTTCTTTCCTCTACTTCACCAAACTTCGGTGCATTACACATGTTACACTGTTGTCGTCGTGCCCAATTGACGTTCCCACATTTACTGCATTGCCAGTCGTCAGCACTAGAATTCAAAAGGAACAAAAATCATCAATAATAAGAGAAGAACAAATCCTAGATGGAAAAATTGAATTATACTGAGAGAAAATGTAATTCTGGCAATCAAATGAGTAAAACGATTCAACTCAATTTTGACCATTGGTCCGTTTGCAATAAATATCTCGGAATCTAAGGCAGATAGCAATTTTTTTGTTATAACCATTTCTGTGGAGTGAATTGAGAGCTATAAAAACTGTTATAACAAAAATTTTGCTATCTACCTTAGATTTCAAGATATTCAAGATAAGAAGTTTAACTTTAAACCATTTTGCCACTTCGTTACTAAATTATTCTCGAGGGATAGATGGATGAAAATAATCAGGATTTCAATACCTGAATAAACCTCTGCTTTTTTCAGCAGCTACCTTCCCTATCTCTTGTCCCAATTTTTTCTTCTTCGATGACTCGCCCCTGTCTACATCAAAATTCATATTCAAAAGAATTTAATTATTCATTCTGGTGATTCCAAATAAAGATATGGATTTGAGAACAGATTTTCGTGGTGAGTTATTCTAGGTACCTTTTCCGCATCGATTGCACGAGCTTCGTCGGGCAAAATTGATATTCGCGCATCTGGAAAATCAAGAGAATTATCAAAACTAGGTAAAGTGGGTTTTTACGCATTTCTAGTGTACATTTTTTCATGAATAATTTGGGTCAAACTAGATTAGATCGCGCGCTCTGGGCGGGTATGTCCTACTCCGTGGAGTTTAATGTATGTCAATTGTAGTGAATAGTATTGTATAAGATTTCGGAAGTTAAGGCCCGGGTGTACTATCTTTCGAACGTTATCTCGATGTTTTTTTTCATCTTTCGTCATCTGAAATTGTCAATTGAGTCCTGCATCATATAGAAGTTTTGAAAAATTATGAATGAATAATAAAAAAAAAGTAGAAGAAATTGTTAATTTTTTCAAAGAGCATTTTTAATTTATATATAAAAATAAGTTGAATAACAGGAAATTGAAAAATTTATCTGATTTAGGGTGACAAATGGCGGCCTGTCACCCAATATCATGCAGGGGGAAGACTGATTTCGTAAATCTTTTCCCCACACTGCACAGAGACATTTATTACGGAAAAGACTCTTTGAAAAAAGTTGTAATATTTTGGAGAATTTTTTAATCACACTTTTATCACATAAAAATGGCAGATGACTACATGAGGAGTTAGTGTTTTGTTATCCACCATGGAAAATGACAGCTAATAGATAATTTGCCACAGCGAATCAGATATTTGTAATTTCCACTTTTTTCAACTCATTCTGAATCTCAATTAAAAACGCTCTTTGAAAAAGTTCAGAATTTTTTCTATTTTTTTTTATCATTTTATCATAATTTTTGGGAATTTCTACATGATGTGCCACTCAATTGACAATTTGGATTACGAAAGATAAAAAAAAGTCCAGATAACATTCGAAAGATAGTACACCCGGGCCTTAATATCAAGTTTTTCGGAAAAGTTTCAGGAATGTATTGTATTTTGTTTATATATAATACATGCAGTGTAACGTTTTTTGAAGCCAATCTGTTCGACGCATTGCGTCATTAGATTTATTATAAATGATGACAGCATACATTGAAGATGTTACGATATTATATTATACAATATATAATAGACTACTATATTATTATAAAACATAATGTGCATGATAAAAAAAATTAAATGATAAACTGATAATAATGAAAACATACATTAAGTATATGATATTGTGCCATATTACATATACCATTATGTATACATAATGTATTATATTATATAATTATTGTATTATATTATTGTATTGTATTATATTATTGTATTGTATTATATAATATAATTTATGTATAATATAATACATTGTATAATGTATTATAATATAGTATAGTATAGAATATAACATAACATACTACTATCGTAATATCTTTAACGTATGCTATCATCATTTATAAAAAATCTAATGACACAATACGCCGAATTGATTGGCTTCAAAAAACGTTACACTGGATTTTTTACTAAAGGATCAAATGCTTCAGAATGAGAATTCCCTCCATCAATCTCAAGTTATTGATTATCAAATACAGTTTATTTCCCCACGCTCTCCCTCATTTTGCAATTGAGTAGTGAATTGCATGGTGATGAGTTTTTAATAGGGAAAGATGAGGTAAAGTGGATGTCCTTAAAGTAGAATATCCAAACACCACGTAAGTTAATTACTCATCATTGATAATCTCTCTATATCATAAAAATCTAAATTGACTTCTGGTGATAACAATTTGGTACTCAAAATTAAGGGTCCAAAAGTAAAGGTCAAAATAAGGGTCATAAGTGTTTTCAGGACAGTGCCACTGAACGCAATTTAAAGGGGAAAAAAATTATGAAATTTCAAATTTCACTAACAGTTCAAGAAAATTCCAAAATTTTAAGAAGCATGAAGACGGGAGTTCTTCAATTTATGGGAATATTCAATAAAAACATTAATATTTAGTGCTGAATTACCCTGAGTTTTCAAATAATTGAAAATTCAAGAATATGTTTATCGTAATTTTTCGGTTTTTTTAATTAATTTTCCGGAAATAATTGAACTGAAAAAAATTTGAATTGAATAAAAATGTGAATTGAAAAAAATTCACAGTTGTCATGAATTTTCCCCAAAATTCTAAATTTTTAATGACGAAATTGCTCGACATTTCAATGGAACTTGAATGTGATAAAAATTTCCGAAGTGCACTTTCTGTAATTTTCTCGGCTGACAGCAGACCATATAAAACTAACTTTTCCAACGTTAAAAAAAAATTAATCGCAATAGCCTCGGCAGAAATGAATAAACTAATTTATCCGTATACACGGGCTTTTATGAAATTCATGTTCAAATTGATCATTAACCTACTAGAAGACTCTAAAAATAGAAATAAAAATAGAAGGTAATGTGTAAACTCATACTGAATTCAATGGCCAGAGAAAAATCTGGGGTATCCGGCAAAACGAGGAAATATTTGAATAATCCCACATAAATGCATCTTAGCGCATGCATTTGGTGCATTTTGTCTGTTTCATTTTTAAATAATGAAGATGGGTTAGTGGATTGAAATTTGCATCGAAGTGACGAGAATATCTTCATCTCTCAGTTGAAAAAAAAATCTATTTTTTTAAGTACTTGCGATTTTGGATAAACATCCTTAAATTTCATTCTACCATTTCAGATACTTGAAAGTGATTAAAATTGTCGAATTTTTAATTTCTTCCGTGTCCCCCGATTTTTCGTTTATCCGAGGTACCCCTTCCCTTCTTGCACTGTCAATTAAAGTAGCTCTACCCTTCGGCCGGGCTACGCTGCACTTTTGGATATTTTCAGTTTTCGGATTTCTCAACTAAATTTCATGGGAAAAATTTGAAAAAATTCATATCCAGTCAATTTTATCTAAATTAAATTTCTCAAAATATTAATATTTTTTCAAACATGTCCTCCTTATAAATGAATAATAGAACTTGTTTGCAAAACGGTGCATCATTTTTTACAAGGTGCCAAAAAAATTATTGATTTTTTTACAACTAATGAAAAAAAAATTCAGATTTTAATCTTTGATTACAATGGAAATGTTGATTTTCGCATAAGACACCGGGTTAAATCCTGGTTTTTGAAAATTTCCTTTAGAAAAACCAAAACGATAATTAAATTGAGAAAAAAATTTAGATTCCGAATCTAATCGAATTTCTGGAAGTTTTTTGCAGTTTTCTTTACTTTAAATTTCCAGATGTTTAAAAAAGAGTTGGAGTGTGGGGGAAATCACTGAATCGTGTACGACTCTCGAGATTTAATAATAAAATAAATACATACTGGGAATCTGGACAGACCCAATCGCCATCGTTGATCCGTTGATGGTTGTCCTCTTCAACTTTGCTGCCATCCATCTTTCAACACTTATTTCTACCTCGGGATATTCCTTGGTTTACCCAGTAATATTAAATAATTTAAAATCGTGGAATCAATCACACTTTCATTGCTCTACACAGAGCAGTATTCATTAGAAAATTCCCTCCAATTGATAATAGTCGTCGAGTTCATCGAAAGTTACTTCGGCTCTCTAAAATCAAAAGAAAAATGGAATGAAGAAATAATTATTAGGAGGGAAATAATTGTCTTGCAATTGTCTTTGCCCGCTGGCCTACGCACACCAATATAAAACTGCGAAAAGTGGGGTACCGTGAGACGAAGCAAAGGGATTCATCAAATCGCCAGACAAATGCATCGGGTTTGCTTGAATTCGGTAAAGTTTTTTGGATTTTGATTTACATCTGATAGTTTACAAATGGAAAGACTTTTATATGCATCTGCCAATAATTCAGTCGTGAAGATGTGAAACGTCGTAGAAGAGAAAAAGGAAGAGGAATAGAAAGAGTAATTGATACGAACGAAAAAATTATCGTGCAATTTAACTGATCTGCAAAAATTTTATGGCGAACTATACAACAGATTTTTTACAACTTCGGTAATTAATTTTGAATGGCTGGAATTTTAATCCATCTAATTCACCAAATCGCATGAGAATATATCGGTTTTGATTGAATTCAATGAATGATTTTCATTTACACCTGACGGTTTCCAAGTGAAAAGTCTGCTTTATTTATCTACCAATGATTCTAGAGAAGAGGTGAAACTTCATAGAAGAGAAAAAGGAAGAGAAATAGAAAGAGTAATTAATACGAAGGAAATAATTGTCATACAATTGAACTAATCTACAAAAATTTTGCGCCAAAATTTTAGAACAGATTCTTCGCAACTTTGGTAATTAATTCGGAATGGTCCGAACCAGTTCATTTAATTAATCAAGTCGCGTGAGAAGGTATCGGGTTTTAATTAATTTAATAATTGATTTTCATTTACACTTGACAGTTTCCAAGTGAAAAGTCTTTTTTATTCATCTGTAAATAATTGAGTAGAGAATTAGTGAAACGTCACAGAAGAAAAATGGAAAGAGAAAAAGAGAGTAATTATAGAAAAAAACATAGTAACCAAAATTCTGTCGTGAATTGGTAAACTAGGATAAGTACTTTTTTTCGAAAAAAAATTTTTTTTGCTAAATCGCTTTCACAAATTGTTGGGAAGCGATTTAACAAAAAAAGGTAATTTCGAAAAAAATGCACTAATCCAAGTGTACCAATTTGCCATAAAATTGTAGAACAGTTTCTTCACAATTTTGGTAATTACTTCCAAATCCTTCAAATTCCAGTCCATTTAATTTATCAAATCGCATGAGAATGTATCGGATTAGATTGAATTTGATGAATAGATTTTCATTTACATCCAATGGTTTTCAAGTGAAAAGTCGTTTTAATTTATCTGCAAATGATTCAGTAGAAAATTGGTGAAAGGTTGTAGAAGAGAAAAAGAAAACAAAGAATAATTAATACGAGAAAAAAAACTATCGTACAATAAAATTCACAATTCGTCACAATTTTGGTGATGAATTCCAAATACCCTAGATTCCAGTTCATTGGATTTATCGAGTTGCATGAGATTGCATCGGATTTGATGGAAAATGATGAATAGATTTTCCTTTAGAAAGTGAAGTTGATTTTGAGGCGAAAGCCTCAACACTAAAATATTTTCATTTGCATCAGATGGTTTTCAAGCCTTTTTTATTCATCTGCAAACACTTCAGCAGAGAAGTGTTTAAACATCACAGAAAAGAAAAAATAAAGGGAAAATAAAAAGTGATTAATACAAAAAAATGGTGCAATAACCGATCTACAAAAATTTTATGCCAAAATTGCAGAACAGATTCTTCACAATTCTCTTAATCACTTCAAAATTCCCCAAATTGATTTCCGTTCATTGAATTCATCAAATCGCATGAGAATGCGTCGGATTTGATAGAATATGATGAACAGACTTTCATTTCCACCAGATGGTTTTCAAGTGGAAAGTTTTTTTTATTCCTCTGCAACTAATTCAGTAGACAATTGGTGAAACGTCACAGAATAGAAAAAGAAAGTGAAAGAAACAACTCATTAATACGAAAAAATTAATTGTGTAATTCAACTGATTAACCAAAATTGTAGAACAGATTATTCACAATTCAGATTCGATTCTATTAACCAATGTCGTAAACTAATTTCCTTTCCTTATTTATCAAATCGCTTGGAAATACATGGGATTTGATTGAATATGATGAATAAGTTTTTATTTACACCAAATGGTTTTCAACTGGAAAGTCGTTTTTATTCATCTCCAAACACTTCAGTAGACAATTGGTGAAACATCATAGAAAAGAAAAAGTAATGAATACAAAAAAATGTGCAATTAGACTAGATCAGCAGATTTGCAGTCTAGGAAACTTTACGTTAAAATTATAGAACAGATTTTTCACAATTCAAATTCGATTCTGTTAATCAATTCAAAATACCCTCAATTAATTTCACTTCATTGAATTTATCAAATCGCCTGAAAATTATTTGATTGGATGTGATGAATCGATTTTCTTTTAGACCAGATGGTTTTCAACTGGAAAGTCTTTTTTACTCATCTCCAAATACTTCAGTAGACAATTAGTGAAATGTTCCAAAAGAGGAAAAGCAAACGAAAAATAGAAAAGTAATTACGAAAACAAATAAATGTCGTGCAATTAATCTAATTTTAAATGTTATGCCAAAATTATAGAACAGATTCTTCGCAAATCAGATTCGATTCTGTTAATCAATTCAAAATACCCTCAATTAATTTCACTTTATTGAATTTATCAAATCGCCTGAAAATCATTTGATTGGATATGATGAATCGATTTTCTTTTAGACCAGATGGTTTTCAAGTGGAAAATCTTTTCTATTCATCTGCAACCACTTCAGTAGACAATTGGTGAAACGTCACAGAAAAGAAAAAGGAAGGAAAAATACAAAAAGTGATTAATACAAGAAAAAATAATTGTGCAATTAACTGATCTACAAAAATTTTATTCCAAAATTACAGAACAGATTCTTCACAAATCAAATTCGATTCTGTTAACCAATTCAAAATGCCCTAAATTAATTTCCCTTCATTGAATTTACCAAATCTCCTGAAAATACATGAGATTTGATTGAATATGATGAATAGATTTTCATTTCCACCAGATGGTTTTCAACTGGAAAGTCTTTTTTACTCATCTCCAAACACTTCAGTAGACAATTAGTGAAATGTTCCAGAAGAGTAAAAGCAAACGACAAATAAAAAAGTAATCACAAAAATAAATAAATGTCGTGCAATTAATCTGATCTACGAAAATTTTATGCCAAAATTTCCGAGGAGATTCTCCGCAAAATACTCGAGATAAATCACCAAAAAAGTGGTATGTAGTTACCTTCATGTGCGTGACAACAATCCCTCCAGTAAAAAATGGAAATAATCCCGTTGATATGTGAGAAAAAGTCAATTCAATTCAATAATAACTCTTCAACACCGGTATGCAGGAGAGAATAATCCCTACCCTGCAGATGTCAGAGTGTTTTTACCATCCGCCATATTGAATTTATAGGGTAGTTTTTCGCTGCACATGTGAGTCCACCATTTCGTGGGGATTACCCTCAACGAATTCATCGACGACAGTAGTTTTGAGTTGTGGCTGGTTGTGGCTTGTGGGCCTCCGAGATCAGACGAGGGTTGGTGATCATTTTCTCATTTTAATCGAAGAAATGGCAGGACGAAGGGCCATTAAGACCATCGACTGGTCAGCAATTGTTGCACGACTTTCCGAAACAGAGAAACCACTTTTCGCTATTTTCAAGGCAAAGTCTGATAGCTTCCTTCAACGGTAAGTCCGGGGAAAATTATATTTCATATCGTTACATAATTTCTTCGCCAAATGTCGGTTTAATCGCTCACTCATGGGCCAATGTTAATCATTTAACAGTCGATTCTGTTGGTTATTAATTTTTTTCGTTTTGTTATTGAGGCAAGAGTCGGTCACTTCGATCAGGTGGAATGTGAGGGTGAATGGGTGAAGGTGGGTCTAACCTCAAACTCAGATTTCCACGGGTTTATGGAGCTCAAATTTTTTTAGTGGGTTGGGATTGATTAGAGATTAATTCGTATCTGCGTTTAGGAAGAAATCTATCAAATGTTTAACCACAAATTTTTTATTAAATGTCTGGAATCATGTGTCACTTTATTTTGCTGCTCTAAACTTTTTAAAATTGGCCATCTTTAAACGATAATTATAATTACTCGATAACAAAAAGTCAATTTTTCTAATTTTCTATTCACTTCAGGGCAGTTTCTCCAGATGTGAAATGAAAAATGATTCCTGTAAATCATGAAATTTTGGGCAGGGGATATTGAAGATTAAAGAGGGTCTCTTTGAACCCACTTTTCCCTTGATAGTAGCAGCATTATAATTACTATTAAATTATTGAGTAATCAATTGGTTAATTTCACTTTTAAATTTTAATTATTGAAGTAATCATCAATTTAAATAGCCAAATTTTTAATTATTCATTAATCAGTAATTAAGGTGACGATTATTTGAATAATCAGAAATCCCTTAAAGAAATTCAGTATTATCTACTACTTAATAGAAAATTTATAGTTTTATATTTTTAAATATTTAATTCATCATCAATTGGAAATTTAAGTTATCAATTATTTTACCATTTTCAAATTTCTATTAGTATATTTAAACCTCAGGCCTGGTTGCACCAGCTCTGGGTAACGAAAACGTCAGATAAGAAGAAAAGTAAATTTGGATGTTCGATGGATTATTTTACTCGGGAGAGTATCTCAAATTTATCCCAGGAACAAAAAATGAAATTTAATCCCAAGGTTAAATCAGTGTTAATTCAACTGGGGCTACAGGACAAATAAAAAATTATTTTTCGGGTCAAATATTGAAAAATTATGAACCCTACGATATAATTGACCCCAAGGATAAATTTTACTGTGGGGTTTATTTGGATAATAGGGCTTGGTGCAACCGGGTCTTAAGGGGTAACAGAAGGCTACAGTTTCCTCGATATTTTCAAACAAATTTATTGCTCAAACTTCTTAATATTTTTTGAACCCAAAGCACATTGATCTCCAATATCGCTTCCTGGAGATTAATGTGCGTGGATTTGTAAAAATATCGGTAACTTTCAGCAGGAAATTGGTTCAAAAAAATTGGAAAATTAACGACATTCTGTTACCCCTTAATCTATACAAGTCGGAAAAATCCTTTTAATATTGATGGCTATCCCTGGATACTAGATTCATTTTGGAGAAGATCTTTATATTGCTTGAGATTAACAATTGAATTAAATCATTTAATTAAATTGCTCTGGAACTAGTCGGTTTATAGGAAGATGTCAAGACATTTTGATACTTCAAACTGCTCTTACTATAATAGTTGCAATATAATCTTCAAATTCATGTGAGAATTCCATTGTTCTATCAATTTATAACTGTCCTAAGTACTACACTGGGAGAAAAACGACAAAGTTCTCAAACAAGTCTTACTTATGCCAAGAAAATAGTTTTTTGAAAATGATCAAGAAAGGATTTTTTTGTGCTAAACATGCAGAGAGTGTGCCGGAATGAAAAATTTTTGTCGTAAAAATAGATTTAGTAGCTGAAAAAAATTGCATTTTTTGTACACGCAAGAAATGTCATCTCTAGCACAACTTCGTTATTCGATACTTCGATACGTATTTTGCTCCCGAAAAATCTGCGTTTTATGCGAAACAAGGGATAGCAGTTTTTCGTTTCAGCTGTCTGATAATCACAGACAAGAAATGAATCCTTAGATGAAACAATAATAATGACATGATTGCAATCTTGTAACTTAGGGATAAAATATTTGTTCATAAATTTTCCTATAGATGAGATATTTTCATCCTGAAAAGACACCGTCTGGTGTGAATTATCCGCCTCTTGAGCCAAATATTCCGTTGCTGTCGAAAGCAGAAAAATTATTCATGTTCGAGTGCAAAAGAATTTATTTGCACAAAAAAGAATTTGTTTATAACAAATTCTTTTTTGTGCAATTTTCGACTAGCGATTTTGTTGGCCCAAACAAGACTTGTTTGACAACGTGTTTGTTTTTCTCTCAGTGTAGGAACTTCATCTACAGATGAATGAGTTAAAACATGTTTTTCTGCTTTAAATGTCTCTGTTATTTCAATATTTGCGAAATAATCTCCAAATCAATTTGAAAACCACGTCCTTCAATTGTTTTATCGTTGACATAACACCTGGATTCATTTGGGAGACAATTGTTTCATTTCGTACAATTATCAATGGATTCTAATTATGGGGCTGGAATTTCAGCATGGAAGAATTCCCTGAGGCTGTCCCAGCAATCGACTGGGCGTATTACAAGAAGAATATCGCTGGTTCGATGGTGGATAACTTCCAGAAGGAATATGACAACCTAAAGGTGCCATACCCAGTTGACAACTACACCCCAATAATCGAACAGCGGGCAGAAGCAGCTGTATGTATCGTAGGATAAGTCCAACATGTCCTTTGGTATTTCGTTAGGAATATCTTTGAAGTGAAGAGGTTCGAGCGGCTTCTCCGCTCTAGGAATCCTTCCGAAACAATTACAATTGTTTCCGGATCAATTCGTCTCCTTTTTCTATAATTTGTTTTTGGATCTGGGAGACCCGGGTTCGATTCCCGGCTGGGTGAAGCGGAAATTTTTTCTCTCTAAATTCTAATTCTCTTAGAATTTTTTTTTGTTCATTATTTCATCGATATTAGTTTAACAGCTGTAATTTTTAGAAAAAAACAAGCAGAGAAACGAGCCTATCCGAGATAAAGCGTGTTACTTTTTGCGTTATTAGTCTTTCTTGCTTTTATTTCTACCAATTTCATTGGTAGGAATTTTGTCACTTTTGTTTCAATCCAAATTCATAATTTTCGGGGATCTCTCAGTGACGGGCCATCGAGTTGAAATTTCGAGATCAAAATCGAACAAAAACAGCAATCTAGATAACGTTCGGTAGATAATGGAGCTGGGCATTAATCTGGATAAAGACCATTGAGTGAAATATTGAAAAAAAAATTGGAATCGGTGCAGTAGTTTTTGAGATATTTAGGGAAAACGAAATTTAAACAAGATATATCTCAGGTACTACTGGAACGATCAGGCTGGGACAGCGCGCCAAAGTTGAGCTCAATAATAGCTACAATGAGCCAAAATTTCAGATTTTTATCTACACATTTCACCGTATTTATGTAGAATTTTCTCAAAATTAATCACCAAACACCCAAGTTGTCACATACATACAGACATGACTCTAGAAACATCATATCTTCGCATTTCATAACATCTTAATTTGCAATCAAAATTAGAAAATCGAAAAATCGGTCAAAATCGAATGGATATGAAAATAATTAGAATCTTCTTTCATCAAGTAATTTTTATTGTAAATGTCGAGAACTGCACTATTTATTTCTTGATAAAAAACATCTTCACTTGCGAGAAATTTGCAACACAATCTGCCCGACAATTTTTCCCATTCCCCTTTACCATTTTACCAGAAAAATTACCATTAGAATTCCACAATTCTGAAATAACTAATCGATTGATTAAAAGGGTTAATTAATTGTATTTTCCCAGGCTCAAAACGTGAAGAACTTCATCGAGGAAGCTGACAAGCGAATCAGCCAAAGCCAGGCTGAGATTACTCGAATCCAGGGACTTCTTCCATTCGAAAAAATGACGATGGAAGATTACGTCGAGACTTACCCAGATATTGCCTGGAGCCCAGAGAAGCCAACAATCTGGCCACACGACCCAGAGTACCAGCCCGGTGATGAGCCAGAGAAAATGCCTGCGCCAGAGCATTAAATTATCATTGTACGTTGTAGTAAATCTGATTCCTACGAATAATTCTGTATAAAAGTGTGTCATTCACAACAATGTATAATTCAGGCCGGTTTCAAACTGGTGATATTCAGAATTCAAATTGGAGAATAAAGGAAAATTAATCTAATAGCAATTGGTTTCATTGGATCGATAATTCAGTAGCAAAGTGGTAAAAGGATATAAGTCAATTTTGACTATTGACCAGTTTTCAATCAATATCTCGGAATCTAAGGAAGATAGCAAAATTTCTGTTCTAACCTTTTGTGGAGCCGATTGAGTGCTGCGACAAATGTAATTACGAAAATTTCGATATCTCCCTTAGATTCGAAAATATTCCTCAAAAACTCAACTGGGAGATAAGTCGACTTATCCCCGTTTACCACTTCACTACTGAATTATCTTTTGTGGTGATCAACATATATTTAATAGTGAAGTAGTGAAATTGAATTCTGGTATTGAATAAGACGAAATTTTTATTTCGGCAAACATTGAGAAATGAAAAATTGAATGAATGCCACAATTCATTCGGGAGACATTTATCAATTTTCTCTTATTTATGAGAAGAAAATAAATGCTTTTAGATAAAATCAGTGAAGCATACAAATTTTTGCATATTTTTTAATGAATTCTTTCCGAAGTTATACTAAAAAATAGAATTTCACCGACGAGGTGCCGTGGACGCGGGTAACAAAGGGTCTTCCCTTAAAGAAAAAAATTGCTGTCTCTCTTAGATTCCAAAACACTTCCCAAAACATCATTTTCTACTAAAAAATCTCTTCACATTACATAATTGTTCATTAGCAAGATAATTTGATGACAAATAGGGAGGGATAATAGAGTTATAAATTTCACAACTTCAATACAGAATTGTACTGTCTGTTATGTTTATTCAGGTAAATCGTGTTTGCTGACACTACCTTTATTATATTCAGTCAATGAAGAAAAAATAGTGTTTCAACAGACAACATTTAATAGACATATGAGATAAATT